TTTAAAAAATTTACTATGGGAAAAATACAAATCTCATGAGTTGTTTGTGAATAAAAATTATTAATTTTTTTCTTTGTTTTTAAAAGTTAAAATAAGATTTTAATTTAGAAGTCACCAAAGTTTTTAAAAAATTTGTGCAAATTTTTTCAAAATTAATCGGTTTTGGTCTACTTTTAGCATATAAAAGTGAATAATGATGCTTAAGTTTCAATATATTGGTAAATATTTATTGAAATTTATCTAAAATGTGGTCCATTTTGATGATATACTAGTTTAACGCAATTTTTTTGATATATCTCCGGCTGGATCTTTCGGGGTAACTGATTTATCCCCGGCCGCCGTTTAATTGTTCATCAAATATTGGTTCAATCAGTAATATATTATATATTATAACGTACGTAGTATTGATCTGGCGAGTTCTAATATAATATTTTAAATATGACTACTAACTACTTGACTGAATCGATAATATCCAGGGTGAAATAATTTTGATTTAGATTGTGCTCTTTTGATCGTGTACACCCAAGCGACCGAGTACCATCAATTATACTCTTAATCCACCAGCTATAAGACACGACAAGTGTACATACTGTTAGCTATTTCTAATATCTTTAAATTTGATATGGGTTAATATTATACAAGTAGCTTAGACTTAAAGTACAGGTGCTTTGAATGTAATTAAGCTCACATACTAAACTAATGGAATGGGAAGTCTAGGTTTTGTAGTAAGTACGTAACTGCCAACCAGCTGCTTTAAAGTCTTGAACCATCAGAAAATTGATGAATATTGATTAAGTACTCTGTAATGATTGTATGATGTCCGGAAAAGTCTTTATTGTTGGTCAGCTTATTTATCAACAGTATTCACATTGGTACTAAGTCTTCCAATTTTTTTAACCAGTTTTTGCACATCTAGGACTGATAGATGCTCCTCTTTTCCCTCTTAAATTGTTAGATTCCCTACTGACTATGACAATTAATTGATAATGTGTCGTTGAGCTCTTCCTCAATCGCCTAGTCATAATCCTTAAACTCTGAAGATATCCTATACTTGAATCAGTCTTGTTTGTACATGGAACACATTCATGTATAGTATATAACTTAGGTTTCTTGTTCACCTGCTAAGGAATAGTAGGTATAACTTAAATTGGAATTCCTTTACCCTCAAAAACTTCTTCAACTATGTTATTCTTGACTTGACATATCTCTGTATCTCTGTATCAAGCTATCTGTATCAAGCTATATCTCTGTATCAAGCTATAAACTTGGTGTCAAACGAAGTGTATATATCAAGATCGTTGACACAATTTCTCGAAACTTTATTTCATAGACTTATAAGTGAAGTTTGAACTATACGTAGTAGGTAACACCAGTAATTCCCGAATAAAGTTTAGATAATTAGGATACACAGCTCATGGTAATAACTGTTCTTTGCAACCCTGAAGTTTGAACCCTAAATCTTGATTTGATGAGTTGGTAATGTTTATAGAACTTTATCCCTAGGGATTCATCATTCTATAGTTTGGTTTCGGTGATCTAAGCAGGAAACAGCACAACAGCAGCGCAGATAGCTAGGCAGAAGAGCCGTTTAAACTTGGAGCCATCCACCTACAGACTGCTGCTTCCGTCTAGATTTACGCTGCCTGGGGCCCGTACGTTTTGGATCGCGGAGAGAGGCCTCAGGCTAAGCTCACTGCAACCTATAAGGAATTCTAACTTCTATAGCTTACACAACAGGTAGCACAAACTTGAAGTTGAAACCATGTTCCAACACCCGAAACATCTAACCAATGTTTAAAAAAAGTTGATTGATCTTTAGATTTTAGTTTAGATTTGAATTTTGAACATGTATACATGTATATCTCGATCTTTAACAAAAGGAGCTTGACCTATTTCCCAATTGGTTTTTTACAAATCACTTTCAGCATTTTAGCTGCACCTTTTGCATATACTACTCAGCGGACGCTGGTGATGGGAACTTGGAAGTGTGTCGCTATGCGCGCTAAGCGTAACTTTCTCCCTAATTCAACCATTCAACCTGCAATTCAAGCAAAATGGCCCTATCACACAGTAGGCAAAAAAAATCAAATCAACAAACACAAAGTTTAAAGCAAAACATACGGACTGAAGTAACTACTTACTACTTAGGCTATAGTATTTAGTTCTTACTTGATGATACTGAAAGACATGCATCACAAATTGCACACCAAGTTAATACCTTGGTTTAACTTCAGTCTTCAACTTGTAAAATGGGATTGAAATTTGAATCATGTTGCGTAGCTCTAGAGAACTCTATAAACCCGCCGGAAAAGTTTAACCCCAACAAAATGAAAGCTCTAAACTGGCCCGACTCGAGTCCCGACTCCCAATCCAGCAAAACAGAGACATCCAATACCTTGTAAGACAGTCTTATATTAGCAAAGCCTATGTAAAGTTGCAAGCAGTGGAGCTTACTCTTGTTTAGACTCCAGAGTCCAGAGCATTTCTGTTTAGCTTATATCTGCCTAGCTAGATTTTGGCTCTCCCTGGCTTTCTTTTTACGGCAAACGCAGTCAAGCATAATTCGCGACATGTGCGTAGAAAGCGGATTTACAGCCTGCGAAAATCAACCACAAACCACAAAATCCAAAGTTCAAAGATAACAAAACAAAAAGTAGTAAAGTTTCCCAAATGACTCTTCTTTATCTATTTTAATCAACATATATCAAACACACAGAATCCCTCAAATCCCATAATTTTTATTGACCATATACAACAACTGCTATCCATATTGCTTCACCATTGGGAATTATCTACTTTAACTGTTCATTTTATTCGGGTTGCCAAGGTAATAAAAGGGTATAAGGTGTAAGGTATTAGACTATTATTGAGGTTTAGGTTTTAGCTGCTGTTGTTAAAAGGGAAAATTCATAATATAGGAAAGATGTTTAGGACGCCTCCGTTAAAGTCAAGTAATCAGTTTGAAACACCAGCTAAACAAGTGATCAGTTCTAGTGTTGGTGATTCTGAAGTGATCGATGGTGATTATCATAAAGTCCACATCAATACTGAATATAATCAAAATAAATCATATTTACCAACTCCTAAAACTCCAATAACTCCACACGATACTTCTTTATCAAGATCAGCATCAACAGCTTCAAAGAAGAGATCATTAAGCATCAATACATCGAATGATTTCCAATATTTTAAAAACAATCAAAATTACCCAATGACTACGACATCTCCATTATCTTCACCAGTTAGCATATTTTCAAATGAATCATCAGTTTTATCAGCAACATCACCTCATTTAGTGAGTGATTCTACAAGTCCACATCTTAAATATTTACCTAGTTCAAGTCTATATTCAGATTCAGAAATTGCCCATGAATTGGAAGATTTTATAATTGATCCAAGTTTTAAATTTTTAGTTGCTAATGATCAAATTATTGGTAAAGGTTCATTTTCAACAGTATTAAAATCAAAGTTCAACAATAAAGATTACGCTATAAAGATACCCTCAAAATTGAAAAGTTGTAAACCAATTTATAAAGAAGCATTAAATTATAAGATCATAACAAGTTATTTACAACTACATGAATTTTCATTAGATGAGTTTCCAATATTGAATGTTTTCGGATTGACTTATCTTACAAGAGCTGATTATCATAGAATAAGACTAAATGAAAATTTACCTTGTTTGGTGTCTTCGTGTTTATCATCAAATTTGGAAGTTTTAATCAAAGACAGCTTCCAAAATAAACAAAATAAAGAATGTTTACATATTGGAAATGATTTATGGTGGAAATTAGCTAAACAATTAATTATGGGGTTAATCGCATTTAAAGATTGTGACATGTTACACCTTGATTTGAAAACTTCTAATATTCTTTTTGATTCAGAATCTGAAAATTTCAAAATTGCTGATTTAACAAGTGCAGGTTTATTTGATGATGTTGTTAAAGAATTCCACGAAAGATTAAATTCTGGGTTTTCAATGGATTATACATTACAATATGCAGCACCAGAAATCTTGAACAAACCAAAAGACCCTCCAAACTATCAAACTGATCTTTATTCAATTGGATTGATTTTATTAACAGCTGCCATTGGTGATGAACCTTATTCACAAGTTTTAAGTGAAAGTCGTTCCAACTTCATTTATTTAACTGAATGTATCAAAAAAAATAAAGTTATTGATATAATAACTGGTGAACAATGGGAAATATTACGCTCAAATCCATTGGCTTATAAATTAATCAAATCTATTTTAATTGATAGAGTGGATCTTCAAGAAGTTGTTGGATTTTTGAGTGAAGTATAAATCGTCACTTTTATTTGATTCTTGTTACAAGATATTCAACTCATCTTATTATACCCAACTCCATAGGCAGATATATTTGCCTTTCATGATCAACCATTTACTTGTATTATAATTATTATCATACTGCATATCATATACAACAAATCCAAAAAACAAACAAAGAACATTGCACAATCAATTGCTATTTATTACAAACGACATATTTGAATTCAATCGCTCAATTTATGAACTTATGAACTTTCTATACACTGAAATTGTTATATTCATACCGTTAATTTCCATTCGCTAATTTTGTATAATTATACCCCTTTATCTATAATGAATGTCCTTTAAGAACCACATAAATATCCGTAATATTCGACCTAGAAATTCTAGTTAATATTGTAGATCTTATAAGCTGTTGATAAGGTCATTATAACCATTGATCACACGTTTTGTCAATCGATAAGCTGGTTCTTTTCCTTTTACCACTCGTACGAAATTCATGATAGATATGGTTATCGTATATTATCTAAACCTTATCAGTGAAACAAAAATGGTGGTGTTCTGATGTTCACCAAATATGGAAGAGCAGTCACAGTCACACAAAAAATCAGAGGAATCTGCCAAAACCGAACGGTGATTTAAAGGGACTCTGCATTCGCGCAGAACAACACAAACAATTTAGTGAAGAAGACGCAGCGAGGGAGTTTAGGCTCAGCTCTTTGGAACTCCCAGCGTAAAGCTAGACAGGAAATTCGTAGGTGCTCAAGTTTACACAGGCATTTTGTATTTGCTCGGGTCTCATACTTACACAGATTGGGAGAATTAAGCAGAACATTGTGGACAGAACTCCCAACGCTTCTGCCTAAATTCTCTGTAAATAAATTTAAATCTTCAGCGGGAAGAAAGTGTGTCAATAACGAAAAGTTCGTTTTTACTCTAGAGGACTCTGACAAAATTTCAATTAATCAAAAGTTGAAAAGTACAAAATTTCTATAGTGAATTGGTTTTATATTTACATATTAACAAACCAAAGCATCAGTTCAAAATGGTATGTTCAGAAGGACACGGAACGATAGAGGAATAAGAAGATTCATTTGGAATGAAAGGGAACTATTGAATATATTATACACAAGCCATGTTGTTTTCATTATCCATGTTATGAAGTTATCAAATGAAAGAATTTAATTACAAAAGGAAGGAGGACCAATACGTAGAGAGACATACAATAATAACTATTGAAAGTAATAGATTCATTATGAAGTATTTATAAGTGCCCAGAGTATACCAATATTTCTAGTTCAAACACAACATATTTTTATCATACAAGTGCAAGATCTAAAATTTTACAAAGAGAATTAATAAAGTTCACCTATACCAGTTTCAAATAATCTTATATCCTCTTTTCATTCATTATTAATGGCTTTAATCAACAGGATACTAACATATATTTTCTTTTAGTCTGCCAAAGCTCAAAATCCTATGAGAGAATTGAAAATCGAAAAGCTTGTTCTCAACATTTCTGTTGGTGAATCAGGTGATAGATTAACCAGAGCTTCAAAAGTTTTAGAACAATTATCTGGTCAAACCCCAGTTCAATCAAAAGCTAGATACACTGTCCGTACTTTCGGTATCAGAAGAAATGAAAAAATTGCTGTCCACGTTACTGTCAGAGGTCCAAAAGCTGAAGAAATTTTAGAAAGAGGTTTAAAAGTTAAAGAATATCAATTAAGAAACAAAAACTTCTCTGAAACTGGTAACTTTGGTTTCGGTGTTGATGAACATATTGATTTAGGTATCAAATATGATCCAGCTATCGGTATTTACGGTATGGATTTCTACGTTGTTATGGGTAGACCAGGTAACAGAATCTCAAGAAGAAAACACAAAAACGCTGTTGTTGGTAACGCTCACAGAACTACTAAAGAAGACTCTGTCCAATGGTTCAAACAAAAATACGATGCTGAAGTTTTAAACAAATAGGTTTATTAAAGCTTTTGTTATAATTTGTAAAAAAGTAAAATAAAGGTTTGTTATTAATGTATTATCTATTTTTTATTGTACTTGTAATCAAATTTCAAATTTTAAATTCATAAAAAAAATATAAATAAATATAAACATTAAAGGTTAATATTCATATACTTTGTAATTGATACTATACAACTGCTGTTATAACAAGTCATTACAGTGTAAAATTGTCGCGAATTTTTCAGA